GACATTTTTAAAATAGTTCTCGTCCTTCCGCTCCCTTTCAGGCAACTTGATTAGATTCATGTCTTTAATATTGGAGAACTACTGTGTTGCTTTTGGAATTGTCTGAAATACAATACATAAAATAGTGATTTGCAGAACGAGAACCAGCCAATGAAAAATCATCTATTGCCAATGCTATTGCTACAACTAAAACCACAACTGTGACCAAATGCAATAAATGTTAAGTGTTCAGTCTGGCAGACAAAAAGGTTGACTTTTAGTCTGGGGGGACTGAGCAACTGTTAAAATGGTTTAAAATGATAAAGTATGAGTATTTTAGCGTTTTAGTAGATGTTAAATAGTAGGAAAAAGTAGAATTTTATCATGGTTCATAAACAAACTTCAGAGTAAGAGTTAAAATGGTACCATACATTGTCATCCTTCTGATAGAGCAGCTAAACTGTTAGAATCAGAATTATTTTGCAGCCATTGAAAGTGACAGAAGTCACAAATTGGAAATATGCTTTGGCTCAAGCTACAACCGAGCTTTGGAGTCACAATAGAGGAATAGATAAATGCATCAACCATAGATGCTTTCAAAAATAGAGATTATTTTTAGCCAGGGCTAATATCAAACGGCAAAAGGACCATTTCCTTCATAATATGTCCAAAAGTATTTACTTCAAAAGTAGATAAAGTTCATTACAGTTTATGCACAGTTTTAATAGATACTGTCAAATTCACTTGTTTCAAACATCTGTGGATGTCAACAATGCAAAAGTTCATGAGTGTAGCCTAGACTAATGTATCTTAGATTAAAGAGATAGATTAGAACCAACAGAGATTCAAAAACATTTAAAAGCATTTTGGTGAATTTGGGTATAGCACAAAAGTAGATATTTAGATATTTTTGAGAATTTTAAAAGCTGTCGATTTGTCAGCACGGATTAGAAAATCGAATACCATTGTAGAGTAACTGACCCCAAAAACCTGCTAAAATAGATTAGCTCTTCTAAGGATAATACCAATTTGATTAAAGGGGACATATCATGAAAAATCCACTTTTTATGCCTTAAATGCCTTATGTTGTGTAGTTGGAGCCTCTAGAAGTGCAAAAAAATTGAAATCAGTCTCTTCATGGGTTGCAGAGAACATTTCATATTCTGTTTGGGTAAGATTTTTCAACCCGTTCTGATTTTGCCGTTCTCTATTACGTGTTTAGAATTATTACGTCACAGTATTTGCAGCGAGACTGCTATATAAGGGCATGGGTGTCTAACAAAACACTTCGGCCCAGCCCTCCTCTACTGTGCATCACTTCAAATTTGTAGTCCAAGCTCAAGGATGCCAGCGAACAGGGCTGGACTGGCCATTGGGCGTACCGGGCAATGCCCAAAGGGCCGATGCCCATATTTGGGCCGGTCTGTCTGCCTCATACAAAACACATGTTTATGAGAAGTGTAAATCCGTTAAGAATTGTTGGAGCGGGGCGCGCGTATCCGCTGGGCACCTGCTGTATGTACTAGAACGGGATTCCGCCACCTCAGCGGCCGCAGTGTTCCGGGGCATCTGCGGCCGCTTTGTAATGAGCAGCTTCCGCGTCCAGCGGCTGCGAGAGGCTGTGAGCGTCCAGCCGCTCGCAGCCTCTCCACCGTGTTGTGGCTGAGCGCGCAGCCTCAACGTGGCCATGTACCCAACCCCATAAACGCGCACAGGACCATGCGTGTCTTTGAGTAATCTGTGCACCCAATAAATACACTGCTGCAGGAAACAGTCTGCGTCTCCCCTCTCCTCTCTCTCTCTCTCTCTCTCCTCGAAGCGCGATTAAACGCCCTAAATAAAGCTCTGATACCTACATTTTGCATTGCATTAAAGGTTGATGTTTGAGCCCAAAAGTAATATGTTGTGAACAAATTAAACAGATTTAGAGCCAGCAAATGGCTGACAATATGCATTTCAGTCTTTTTTGACCAATTCTCATCCCTGTAACAAACAATAGTGTTGTCTGTGTCCACCTCCCTCACTCTGAGACATGTTTATTACTCACTTTAATGTAGACTATTGCATTTTATTTTATTGTTGAAACTGCACATATCCTGATCCTCAGTATTTGCTTCCACATACTGTATAAACTAGGAGTCGGCAACCTGCGGCTCCGGAGGCGCATGCGTTTCTTTCCTTCTGTAGAAGGAAATACGTTCTTAAATGCTGTAAAATTATGCATGAGTAATATTCAATGTAAACATTTCTGTCAACGTAGTGTGTCATATCCTGCGACGTAGACCCGTGCCAGGCGGCCGCTGTTGTAAACAAACCGGGTGAGCATCATAGACTGTGCGCATGGATCCCAAAGCTAAAAAGAGAAGAGTCGATAAAAAGACTGGACTAAGAATGAAAATTAACATTTGCTTTCAGTCAATGAGGAAGGACTGCTTCATGTTTGCGATGTAATGAGAAGTTTCTATGAGATAATTGTATCTGTGCTTAGAAACTACAAAAATGGCCGCTCGGGTGGAGTTGAACCTGGATGGGGGCGTGGTCAAAAGCGCCTCATTTGCATTTAAAGAGACAGCACCAAAACAGGTTGCTCTCAGACGCACCTCAGAACAGGTGTAGAAGAAAGGCCCGTGGAGCTACAAATAATGAGACTCAGACCCAGGCATTGCAGTTACGCTTTATATAGACCACAAATGAATGATTTAGATGTAAAAATCAATTATTTGAAAACACGATATGTCCACTTTAATGAAGTACATTCATCCCAAACTGTCTGAGAGGAGGAAGTGACAGCACTTCCTGTTTCGACAAATGTATTTGGAAAACTGACCGCCATAATAATGTTCATATTAACCATTTGTCTTTCTGTGTTCAGTTTTGTTTCTGAGAATGTAGAATAGACATGAGCAAAATCACACGGGCACAAAGCCACTGTTAATGAAAGCAAAACCATAGTATAGAGGGATTTATTAGATAAAAACATATGTTTCGAATGTGGTTGTGTGTTGTTTGTTTTCCCTGTATTAATTCTTCACAGATAACAAGCCAGAACTAAGATGTTGGCAATGATGGAATTCCCCCGTCCCGTCGCCCGAGGAAGGTTATTGAAATGTGTGGCCTTTTTAATAGCGGCCAAGAGAGGGAAATGTTGTATTTATAAATACCCTGACACACTAAAACGCATGTGTTTGGTGACCTCTGGAATTCTGGGTTGGAGGCCAGTCTTTTCTTATACATCGGAGGTGTCTTCTTGTGCCATCAACTAAACAACAGATGGATTCTGCTGTTTGGACTTCACCCCCTAGTCTTGGCTCCTGCTGACTTCTGCACTTTTCACCTCACTCCATCAGGAGTGGGTTGACATGACTGGAGTCTTCTAGCCATACTCATTTATCATATGATAATACACATAACCTTTTTTAACATATATTTACTTCATATTTTAGGTGATTTCATGTACTTAGATATTAGGATATTAGTGTGATGTGTTTGTACTGCACAATAGGTTTGTTCTTTAGGAAAGCGGGCTGTTGAGACTAATTAGGGGAGTTGTTTAGACAGCAGAGATTGATCCCAGACTAGTGACAGCTGCTTGGAGCCTTAGGTTAGGAAGCATGAATTCTTTTTAGGTGGGGAGGGGGGGGGCTCAGAGTCAGCACAGGGCCAGCGAGGGACATGGATAGTTTAGGAGCTCTCTTGTTGAATGTATCTGATTGTAACGATAAATTAAATACAGATGTTAAACTTGGAGATCTTTTGTCTTACTTCTGCGTCAACTTCGAACACGTCCGTCAAAGGGTATTTTTGACATCAATTCGTAGTAGTGATATATTTCATTTTACAACAGAGAAGACCCTGTGTTAAAGCTGGGGAAAATGTGAAAAATACTGTTAAGATCAAGTAGAGCTAAAGCTACACTGTAAAACATGGTGATTTAAAATTACTGTGGAGCTGGGAGCCGGTTGCCAGCTCTATTATTATCTGTGCAGTTTTTAGATGTAAAATACCTTGACAGTGTACTATAAACTTGAAAAAAAGACCACTTTTGGAAGAGTGGTTCCTGAGAAGTCTCCCACGGCAACAATACCATAAAGTCCTGTCACACATCAGCACTGGGGAAGATAAAAGTTGTATTTTTGGTGTGAACTCGCCGGGTCTTAACCATCCGCTAGCTGGTCAATTATTATTCCCCTACATATACTTAGTACAAAATGAAACTTGTACGGAGGTGTGCTAAGACCAGATCAGATGACTTTAGACTTTGTTCCATTAAAAAAATAAGGTCCTAAAAATGTGAACTAGCTATGGCCGACCCCACAGCCCAGGTGCAGTGGGGCAAACACTGAGCACACAGGTCTCTTTTCATGATATTCAATAGTTCTTTAGGACTAGATATTGTCAAAACCATAACAAAACAAAAAATTATAGCAAAAGTGATATATTTGTTTGGCTTAATATTTAGTGTAGAGCAACAAAAAAGATCAATCATTTTCATCATTGCTGAAATGTAACCCATTAAAAATATAATCTCCCCTATAAGTATGATAGTGCTTGTTTGAGTGGACCTAAAAGCCATCAACATGAAGATAAAATCACTGCGAGGACAAGGAGGTGGTCGACTGTCCACAACCTCAAGACCCAACTGTTGAGAACTTCTTTTAATACTTGAATTGTGTCGTGCTTCTATTGTCTATGATTTCTAATGTGTTTGTTTTTGCTTTTATCATGAAGGCTCTTTGAGTAATTAGAAAAGTGAAAGTCAATAAAAATGTATTACAGACATAAGCTTTAATTGTATTGGTGCACTTTCAAGTAGCTCCAGATTAAAGTTTGGTAATTTTCTCTTGTTCTGAAGAGATAAAAAAGCTACAAATATCAAAACCTCTTGATCTTCAGAACAGTATGAACTTTTAATACTTTTATCTGAAAGGATTTGAAAGAAATGTAGCAAGCCCTTCAAAAAATGCTGTATAAATATGAGGGTTTTGGATTAGCATGAATCACATCAAGCAGAAGCCATCATCATGTTGCTGGTTGTGTTCCTGTTTGCGCTGACTCTCCGCTTCGAGAGAACTGAAGCTCTGCCCTGTGAGAAGCTTCTCGAACCTGTGGACGATCACTCAGAGGTATTTGAAAGAAAACATATAAAAGTAAAATCTACTTTGTGGATCTTTCAACTGTGTTACTCCCTTTTGTATACTTTAGGTCAGAGGAAAATGGTTTAATTTGGCTACTACTTCCAACAATGAAGTCTTCCAGGGATTCATGAACCGATCTCTGGGCTCCTGGAAAGACATTACAGAAGATGGAAATGAAACAGTGATGATACGACATGACAATCTGTAAATACTCGTCCGGTAAAACTTTAAAAATAGACACAAGATAGATATTCATTGTTATACTTTTTCTTTTCTTTCTAGAAATGGCCAATGCGTTTATCGCGTTGCTCGTCTGACGGTGTCTAAGAATCAAGTGATATATAACTGTAAGTGCAGTAAACTGAATGTAGTTAGAATTAACTATATTGAAATTACCAAATCTTGTGGATTTGTCTTTTTCAGTTGGGAAAGGACAATCCAAGGTCCAATACACTTGTAAATTCATCAAGACCAAGAAAGAATCTGTTCTTGGTTTCTTATGTGATATAGACTTATTTCTGCAAGAAAATTCTGTTGGACAATTTTTTATCCTTTTGGGTGAGTTTCATCCTGGAAATAAAATGTTATGAAATCACCTGGATATATGTTCTTAATGTATTTATTAGGGAGGACTGAACATCTAAGTAACAAAGACAAGAAACATTTTGAAAAAATGGTGGAATGTGCAGGAATGACCAACATCCACTATCCACCAAATGAAGGTAACATACTCTTCATCATCTATTGTTTGAGTGAGTCTGGTTTGTTGACTCACAACATTGTGTGTCTCCATTGCAGATATGTGTGGTGAAGACGAGGAGTGATTCAGCGTCTTTCACAGCGTTTTAGAAAATATAGAAGCATTTGAAACAAATAAAAACACTTTTGGCATTGTATTTTGTTTACAAAGTCTTCATTTTTATATTTTAGCACAAGTCCACATTAAAGAATGGGCAGTTTTTTATTTTTATGAATCTAAGGGTGACCTTCCCCCACTGGTATCTGGACATATCAGCGATCTCCCAAACAAGCAATACCTGGGAATGTTTGTAAATACCATATAGCATAGGTCTCTACTCCTTTAAGCAGGAGGCACGGTGGCTGAGTGGATAGCACTCTCGCCTCTCAGCAAGAAGGTCCTGGGTTCGAATCCCGGTCGGACCAGGGCCTTTCTGAGTGGAGTTTGCATGTTCTCCCCGTGTCTGTGTAGGTTTCCTCCAGGTACTCCGGTTTCCCCTACCACTAAAAACATGTCCAATAGCTCTGGCATGCGCCTCCTGTTCGGCGACCCCGCTCCCATCTCTGTGTGGAGTGAGAGGACAAGTGCCCAAAAATAACAATTGTAAACCGCTTTGTGACTCTGCTCTGTGAAAGGCGGTATATAAATAACGATTACTTACTTACTTACTTAAGCATAGGACCTGTCAGGGGTGAGTTCAGAACCCCAAAACAGTGAGGCAAAAACAGAAAAAAGGAAGGAGCAGTGGAGACAGGGAGCAGGTCAGCCGGAGAGCAGAGCGGAGAGACCAGGGCTGGACAAGCACAGGATCTAGAATTTTCAACAGGTAAAAAACCAGGTAAGTGAAGAAGACACAGCGCAGCACTACCGATATGACGGAATTATCTTGCATAGGAATGATGAGCAGACCAGGGTTATATACAGAGTTGAGTGGAGTGAGTGGAGCAGGTCTGTCTCGTCAGCAGCCAAGCAGACACCGGCAATGCCCCCTGTCTCACACATGCTCTGGAAAGAGAGAGAACAAAATAAACTCTACTGTATTGCTTTTGTATTGTTCTCTTACTGTGTTGCTCTCTGCAAAAGCTCAGGCGTAGACAAACAAGGTCTGCGTCAGGTGTTGGGGAACCAGAACACCTTCATGAGACAGAACTAGAACAAAGAAAAAGTGGGCGAACAGCGAGAACGGAATGCCACTGCTTGAGTAATCCTGGCCTGAGAGGTTACATGCAGAGAATATGGGCTGAATGGTCAAATCGAAACCTTCAGTCAACAGCAAACAACTAAGCTCAGTGTTCCAACATCCACAAACAATAACTGCTATCACAGCTTGAGATTGATGAGAGACTACCCAACAACGCCATGAAAGCCAATGTCAGAGGGGAGGTCCCACCTACGCCCCAACCAGATATTGGGTTCAAAGCCCCAATGGAACCAACAACGGTGAACAAGACTGACCTGAAAGATAAGATCATAGCGAGATAGGGCACAGGGCAACCCCAACACTGATTACTGTCGGCCATGCAAACACAGCTTTGAGTGAACCCTTCTGTAGCACTTATGTTGCTAATGAAATAGCTAATAGCAATAAATACTAACAATAGTAGCTCAACATGTTCAGTAGTTAGGCTAGTTCAACTCAAAAGGACTAGATAAGACTCAGGAGGGAAGAGGCAAAGACTGGGTGTGTAGTTGCATATTAAAAAGGTGCCATGTATTGTACACAATTAGACAGACAATATAGACAATAGAATTAGGCCATTCACAAATACTCAAATCCCAAATACACTCAATACACAGAAGGCAATATATAAACACAAGTAGTCATGGGTTTAGAGTCCAATATTTACATGTGACCCGTGGGCCACTCGCACAACGCAATTGAGGATGCACGTGTTCAACAGAGCAAAATCCACACGACCCGGGAATTGGTTTTGAGTCCAGAGGTAAGTGTCTGTGTGAGGAGTGAGGAGGAGGGAATGTTCGGGTCGCGGATAAAGTGCAAGGTGCGAGAGTTTGTATGGTTGGCTGCAAGAGCCTCCTACCAGCCCTATTGAGGTAGGTGGGTCCAGGTTTTCCAAGCCCGGTCCAGGACTAGTTCCAGTTCTTTAGCTCGCCCTCGAATCCTGGCCTGTAAAACAAAACAGGACCACTCATTAACTCCATTTGGTAAACATTAACCATAATACTAAATACTTCAAATTACATTCATACACTTCTAAATTACTATAGAAAATATAATCAGTAATGTCATTAATCCATGTGTACACAAAGTCAATACATATTCAAATAGGATGCACATCGCTTCATAATTAAAAGTGCAATAGGATGCTACTATATCAATCAATCAATCAATCAATCAATCAATTTATTTGAGCAGGTCATACAAAACAAAAAACAATCCAATAGGAAAACATTTCAAGAAAAAGTAGACACAGCTCAAAGGGAGTAAGCCGAAGTAAAATACTTGTGTGAGCTTACCCCAATTACATTTTCATATCGTTTTTCAATTAGGTGTGTGTTGTCACATTAACTATTCTACAAAACAAGTTTCTATAATTAAGACAGTTGAAAATGTTTAACTATTTTTTACTCAATCTATTAAGTGAAAGTGCATAGTGCTATTTTACAATCAATCTCAAAGCGACGCCACAAAGTAAACTGCTAGGGCATTGCAGTAGAATGAAATCATAGTTACATGATTTCATACTGTATGCAGCTAAAAACGCCACAAAGTGCATGTAAATACATGTAAACACAGTCATGATTCAAAAATAATCTCTTTAACATGATTGTCATTTAGTTTGGATCATTAAATACAAAGCACACAAAGAAAATTGGCATAAATAGCAATGCTAACCAAACCCATTAAAAACATAGGGAACGGCTAATGCTAAGCTAGACGCTGAATGAATGAGAGCTCATGAAAGCGCTTTTCGATTCTCTCGTAGGAACGATCAAAAGCTCTATCAAGAGCGCTAGGGTGATGGTAGCTCAGCTCCTGTACGCAGCAACATATATAATAAGTGTAAGGAATCAGCCAAAGTTTGGGATCGTGTCTTTAATTCAGACAGAAGACATGTTTTATTGTTGATGGTAGACGCACGAACAAGAGCACACGAACAAGGAATGTTAGACAGCAAGTGATAATGGCCCTCATGAAAGTTGCGCAGAAAAGGGTGCATATTTTTGGTGTAGACCATTATGAACGAAGTGGGAAAAAGAATAAAGTCTTACTATTTGGAATCCTCAAAAGTGGCATCAAGGGGCTCAATAAACAAAATATGGAAAGAAATGACAGCATCTGCACAGCGTGGGGCCTGCAACACGCACTCCTGAAGAGGTGAGTTTATAACATGTTCGAAGAAAAATACGCTATATTATGTCAAACAGTTAATACAGTGCCTTGCGAAAGTATTTGGCCCCCTTGAACCTTTCAACATTTCGCCACATTTCAAGCTTCAAACATAAAGATATAAAATTTACATTTTTTGTCATGAATCAACAACAAGTGGGACACAATCGTGAAGTGGAACGAAATTTATTGGATAATTTAAACTTTTTTAACAAATAAAAAACTGAAAAGTGGGGCGTGCAATATTATTCGGCCCCTTTACTTTCAGTGCAGCAAACTCACTCCAGAAGTTCAGTGAGGATCTTTGAATGATCCAATGTTGTCCTAAATGACTGATGATGATAAATAGAATGCACCTGTGTGTAATCAAGTCTCCGTATAAATGCACCTGCTCTTTGATAGTCTCAGGGTTCTGTTTAAAGCGCAGAGAGAACCATGAAGACAAAGGAACACACCAGGCAGGTCCGAGATACTGTTGTGGAGAAGTTTAAAGCCGGATTTGGATACAAAAAGATTTCCCAAGCTTTAAACATCTCAAGGAGCACTGTGCAAGCAACTATTTTGAAATGGAAGGATATCAGACCACTGCAAATCTACCAAGACCCGGCCATCCCTCCAAACTTTCATCTCAAACAAGGAGAAGACTGATCAGAGATGCAGCCAAGAGGCCCATGATCACTCTGGATGAACTGCAGATAACTACAGCTGAGGTGGGAGAGTCTGTCCATAGGACAACAATCAGTCGTGCACTGCACAAATCTGGCCTTTATGGAAGAGTGGCAAGAAGAAAGCCATTTCTCAAAGATATCCATAAAAAGTCTCGTTTAAAGTTTGCCACAAGCCACCTGGGAGACACACCAAACATGTGGAAGAAGGTGCTCTGGTCAAATGAAACCAAAATTAAACTTTTTGGCCACAATGCAAAACGATATGTTTGGCGTAAAAGCAACACAGCTCATCACCCTGAACACACCATCCCCACTGTCAAACATGGTGGTGGCAGCATCATGGTTTGGGCCTGCTTTTCTTCAGCAGGGACAGGGAAGATGGCTAAAATTGATGGGAAGATGGATGGAGCCAAATACAGGACCATTGTGGAAGAAAACCTGTTGGAGTCTGCAAAAGACCTGAGACTGGGACCGAGATTTATCTTCCAACAGGACAATGATCCAAAACATAAAGCCAAATCTACAATGGAATGGTTCACAAATAGACGTATCCAGGTGTTAGAATGGCCAAGTCAAAGTCCAGACCTGAATCCAATCGAGAATCTGTGGAAAGACCTGAAGACTGCTGTTCACAAACGCTCTCCATCCAACCTCACTGAGCTCGAGCTGTTTTGCAAGGAAGAATGAGCAAGAATTCCAGTCTCTCGATGTGCAAAACTGATAGAGACATACCCCAAACGACTTGCAGCTGTAATTGCAGCAAAAGGTGGCGCTACAAAGTATTAGCGCAGGGGGGGCCGAATAATATTGCACGCCCCACTTTTCAGTTTTTTATTTGTTAAAAAAGTTTAAATTATCCAATACATTTTGTTCCACTTCACGATTGTGTCCCACATGTTGTTGATTCTTGACAAAAAAATTCATTTGTATATCTTTATGTTTGAAGCCTGAAATGTGGCGAAATGTTGAAAGGTTCAATACTTTCGCAAGGCACTGTATATTGGGCCAATAGTTAGGATTTATCAATTTATGCTACAAGTGAAAAAAAATGAAGCAACTTCAAAA